CACTGACTGCAGATGTATAGTCAGAGATCACTTCCCTTGGTGTCTTCTCTGAAGCGTTGAATTCAATACATGGGCTAGCCTCTGTACCACAACCATGGATCACTGAAATGCTGCCACACTTGCCAGGGGCACTTTGCTCTCCTGAAAACCCACAGAACAGAGTTGATTCTCTCTGTGCAATGAGGTCCTTTCCCAGTCGGTCAACTACCTTGCTCAAGAGCCTGATGGCTTGCTTCAACTCCCTAGTTTCTTGGCGGTGATGCAGGTCCTGTTTCTTTCTGCAGGACATCCCTAAATGAGGTCCATTGCATTTTGGACACCTGGGGTTACGCCTGCTATCAGGTCGATACCTTGGACACTCACGTCGCATGTGGTCACTACTACCACAGATGAGGCAGGCCCCTGCTGCAAACCAACAATCTTCTGTGAAGTGTGCTTTCCCGCACCAATCACAAAACCTACGGTAATCAGAAGTCCTTCCACTATTCTGGGAATACATGTTGCCTGCTCTGTGCCTTTGTGGAGAGTATACTTGCGACTCTGATGTAGCGTTTTGTAACTGGCATGTAGGAACCAATCCAGGCTCATGTAGTGGGCCACGAGAGAATGGGGGCCGCCTTGTTGTTCCCTTGCCAATCCAGACTTCTTCATTCTTCTTTGGTGATGGTGCTGCTAGTGTCAATGAACTATAACGAAACCTCTTATCACGAGCTCGTTTATCTTCTGCTTCAGCCTGCTTCATAACATCATTCCAGTTTAACTGCTTGCCTAGTTTCATCATCTCCTTCATATCTTGACGCTGACGCAACTTTTCATTGAACCACTCTGGTACAAGTAGTGAATATTTCTCAAGCATTTTCTTGACACAGAGTTTCTCATCTCTGGGATATGCCTTTCTTGCCACTTCTCGCATGCGCAATCCTAAGAGTTTAAATGACTCCCCCTCATTCATGGTCATGGTTTTCAACACTCCTTGCCAACGTTTGGTGCCCTGTACTTCCCGTGACTTATCCCACTCCAGAAGTTTCTCCTTCAACATCCGATAGCACGTGTTTGGGCCATCAAACGCTTTATATGCAGCCAATGCCTCATTTTCCAGGAACTTCCCCAGCTCCATGGCACATTCTCTAGGTCCACCATGGAACTTGGAGTTGAAGTATCTTTCAAAATCCTGCAGGTACTTCTTTAAACTCTGATGCCCTTCTGAGTTAAATGGGGGAGGAGTTACAACACGGTAATGTGATGAGCGCCTGGGTTCTGGCAGCATACACGACTTGTCTGATTCTATGTCAGAAGAATCACTACTTGTGATCACCAGCTCATCCAGTGTAATAATACCCCCATCTGAAGATGAGTCCTGATAGCAGGCACGTCGTGTGGCAGCTGGGTAACTTGCTTTGGGCTTCTCTTTTTCAGAGCCACACGATTCAGACGAGGAAAAACCCGGGCGTGATCTTCTTTTCTTGTTTTTCAGCCTTGGTGATTCTCCATAATACTGCTCAACAGTTGGAACTTGCTTCCCTTCGAGTTGAACCTTCCTCCAATAAGTTGTCTGCATCATTGTATTGAAAAATGTCCTCCACTGGCAATAGGGCAGAGCCACTATTGGAAAAAGTGTATGAGGAAGTTCTAAAATGTCAGGAACACCCTGCAACAATTTTGTCAGATGGGCAGCCATAGAATGCGATTTCTCTCCATTCCCCAGAGTCTCCAAATCACCACTAGGCAGGAACACCTTCTTAATCATATCTATTGAGTAAAGCATTGTTTCAGGGTCATCTATCTCTACAATGCTGCCCTCTAGAAAGTGCCCTCTAATATGATGTTCATTTAGTTTCAGGAAGAGCGATTGAAGGTTAAACAGGTGGACAGTATTATCACTGCCAGAGTCACAAAGCTCATCACATCCCTCCCTTAGGTAGGGGCAATGCTTGGCTTTGATTGCTGGGCTAGCTCTGACTGGGTTTTCTCCAGCCTCAACTTCCTGATGATGTTGACCCAGTTGGGACTCACCACCCATGTTTGGGTTAATAATGCAGTTTCTGATACTGGATGACTTAAATGCAAAACCTGCATCATTTTTATCTGACTCTGTACCCAAGGAGGACCAAGCTCCCCCCGAGCCAGCCCCACGTGCCTCGGCCTGCATACTGGTTGTGATTTGGAAGAAGTAAGGGAGCAGTGAAACAGTTGAAGGATAAGCAGAAGTGACAGAGTATGTTGAAGGGACAGAGGTCCCTGTTTGGGCGCCAATGTTGTAGAACTATATTTATTGTGTTACCAGCCACATTTTGGGCCTGAGGGTGTTTGCTGCAAGGGTGTCAAGAAAACAAGGAATTGGTGATGGTCTCCACCTCCCCTACAACCATCCCAAACCACCTTTTTATTAGAATTTTCCTTGTGTTTATTTAACAATTTATTGAACAATACAACAAAAGAACTAAGTATATACAGTGAACAGAGAAGAAAAAGAATAAGCGCAAAACCGAGGCACGGGGGTCTATAACCTTGTATAATGGTATTTTCAAGTTTGCCTGCTTTACCCAGTCTGAAAAGCAAAAACAGATTAACATGATAAACCTAAGGAGTGCACTAAATCCATAAAAATATCCTTTACATTAACTTTAACATGATTAAGTTAATGATGCATAGCAAATAGTGAGCACTCTACTATGTCAACACTGAAATTGATACATACTTTTGCTTTAATTTCGTACTTTAATTTCACATTACATTGCATCTCGGGAGAGGGGGGTGTGCAGGACCCCTAGTAGGGAAATCCTACTTCCTTGTAGTATCACTGAAATGGGCTTCCCACAACAATGTAGTTGCGATGGCTGTGAGAGCTATATATGAGCACCCAAGCATATGTGCTCAGAGCCACCAGATCCACGTGCCGTAGCAAGCAGTTCTGATGCCTGTGAGATTGTATATTTGAGCACCCAAGCATACACGCTCAGAGCCACCAGAACTAAGCACTGTACCTCCAAGTTTGGACTATTGTGAGCACAAATTTGGGCTCCCAAGCATACGTGCTCAGAGCAAGCTAAACTACTCAATGTAGTGAGTGATATCTGAATGCTTATGTTGAGAGCCTCATGGGCCTAATGATGGATAACAAAGCAGCTTGTGATAAATCATTTTAAATAAACAGACTGCATCATTAGTCTAGCCAACAGAACTATGCGATATAGCGCATATCAAATCCAAACCCTGTCACTAAACCCAATCCAACCAAACCCATCTCAGTATCCCAGTGCAACCCGAACCAATTCAACCTCGCCCAATTCATCCCAACCAAATTCAACCTAACCCAATCTAACTGAACCCAACCAAATCAAACTGAACCCAACTCAATACAACCCAACCCAAACCAATGCAATTATAACCCATTTAATCCAAGCCATTACAACCCAAACCAATTAAACCCAACCCAATTGGTCATAATTCAAATAAACCCAATACTTCCCAGTGCAACCCAATTCATCCTAACAAAATTTAACCCAACCCAATTAAACCAAAACCAATTCAACACAATTGAAATAAATCAAATTCAACCCCACCTAACTCAATTCAACCAAAATTCAACTAAACTCAACCCAATCAAACCATATTCAACCAAAACCAATTCATCCCATTCTAACTTGATTCAACCCAATTCAACCACACCCAACCCAATTTAATTCAATTTAATTTAATTCAACCTAAATCATTTCTTTCCAGCCCAATTCAAGCCAACCTAATTCATTAAAATTAAATAGACTGAATTAGAATGCATCAAGTTTTTATTAGATTGCATTAGGTTTCATTACAAGGCATAAGATTGCATTACCTTGCATTATGTTACATTAGATTGAATTAGAACGCATTAGATTGCATTAGGTTACATTATGCAACATTAATTTGCATTAGATTACATTATGCAACATTAATTTGCATTAGATTACATTAGATTACCTTATGTTACTTTAGAACACCATAGATCACGTTAGAACGCAACAGACTGCAATAGATCGCAATATAACTCAATAGATTGCATAAGAACGCAACAGATTGCGTTAGAACGCAATAGATCATGTTAGAACACAACAGATCGCGTTGGAACACAACAGATCGCGTTAGAACAATAGATCGCGTTAGAACACAACAGAACGCAATAGATCGCGTTTGAATGCAACAGATTGCGTTAGAAGGCAATTAAGCGCGTTAAAACGCAATAGATCGTGTTAGAACGCAATAGATCGCGTTAGAACGCAACAAATCGCGTTAGAACGCAATAGATCGCGTAAGAACGCAATAGATCGCGTTAGAACGCAATAGTGATCGCGTTAGAACGCAATGGATCGCGTTAGAACGCAATAGATCGCGTTAGAACGCAATAGATCGCGTTAGAACGCAATAGATCGCGTTAGAACGCTATAGATTGCGTTAGAATGCAATAGATTGCGTTAGAACGCAATAGATCGCGTTAGAACGCAATAGATCGCGTTAGAACGTAATGATCGCGTTAGAACGCAATAAATTGCGTTAAAAGACAATAAATAGCAATAGAAGGCAACAGATTGCATAAGAAGGTAACAGATTGCGTTAGAACTTGTAAGATTGCATTAGGATACACAAGAATGCATTAAAACTTATTGAGGCATAATTTGCTTTCAACAAATTATGGAAACGGAGATGAGTTTCATCAGCAGTAGCATTGGGCATGCCAGATGTATGCATATTATGATCAGGAGACAGATACAAGCAATCAAACAAGCTGGAGATGCGCGCTGTGACGGCAGGACTGATCGAGCAATCCATAGTTTATGATTGGTCATGGATGGCCGAGCTATAGTTTATATTGGCCATGGACGCCGATTTAGGGTCAAGGTGGCTGATGAAGAGTTTGAAAGGACGCTGATATTTCGAGCTGAAAGGCTCTACTTTACAGCCTAGCAATCTTCAAGGAAATGTTTTGGGTTAACTTGTTATTACGTTCTGCAGGACTTTTTGGCATAATTTTTTAGTCTTTAATAATTATTCCACTTTTCAGTACATTCACAGAGCAGTGATATAAAGTTACAATGAATTCTAAAAAATCTAAAAAGAATCGCCATGAAGTTGCAGCTCATGTGCAAGAAACCATTGAAAATGAAGGCCTGGAGGAAAGGACTCCAGTTGGCAAGAGGAAGCTGAACCCTGATGACAGTGGCAGCAAAACAAAAAAGAAGAAAATGTCTAAATCAAGTCCCATCAAGAATGTTCCTGAGACACCTGCTTCCAACTCATTTGAAGTCAACTCAAGTTTTCCCCAGTTATCAGGCTCTTCTAAGCATAAAAAACAACACAAACTTGATCAGAAAGCTGCACAAGTTTCGAGCGTGGATGAAGAAGATAAGGGAGATGATTGTCTCCCAAGCCAAGATAGCAGTGAGTAATTCACAACTGCTGAGCTGTTTTTATTCATATTATGGAATATGGAACATTCAGTATCTCATGCTTGAATTTGATCAGATATATATTGCTCATTTTTACAAAGGTTTTTCTACATTATGAAAGTTTTTGATATATTGAATTGGTGTAACAGTTTTTATAAAGCATTCCATTTTATCTATCAAAAAGAAACAAAGCTTAACTTAAATTATCATAATAATGTTCGATAATTTATTGTTTATTTACAGGCCCCAAATGGACTGCTGATGCTATTGATGAACTTCTGTCTTCAATGACAGAATACTTCAAATTGAAACCTGATGAGAGCTGTTCATTCAGGTCTGCTTTTTTGATGTACTATTATAATTTTCTTTAACAGGAGCTAGAATGCAGTGCTTGAATTTCTTTTTGATATTTAAAAGCAAAGAAAATTCTATGCAAATTTTTAATACCATAGCTTTAAAAATGAGTTTTTGTGGAATTTTATTTAATTTTAAATAAATAGTAAATTTGCAATTGAAGCAAACAAGTGACAAAAGTTCTCTTTGAAGTATTGTGCAAAATTTCTAACATCTTTTATTTCTGTCTTAGCCTGTTTGCATTAATGTTAAGTTGAATGTCAACTTAAATACTTACATTGTTGTAGGAGATACAGTTTATCATTGACCAAAATGTGTTGAATCATTTACCTAATCATTGAGCTATTTTGTGGACTGTCATTTTAGAGCAATGTAGGTTATTCATAACCCTTTTTTAATGGTGCCTAAAATCTTGAACAATAATAAGCATAAACCAGTCACTCTTGGATTGAATTCTGAAATTTTTCCTGAGCTATAAATAACTGAATTTTAGAATTACTCCATTTCACAGTTTTGATCAAGCCAAAAATAAAATAGATTTGAATGGGAACAAGCGTGTTTATTGTTCTGACTTGTTGAGCTATAGTGCAATATCTTAAACGTTCAAGTTTCTAGAATAGTTATGTGCTAAACGCCAATGTAATGTGAATAATTGGTAGGTAGTTCTTGTGATACGTAGGTATGTGTGCACTTTTTTATGCATGACTGTTTATATTACAGAGTGCGCCTGAAAAAGATTAGTTGGGGGAATTTTCCCTCAAAGTTGACTCCTCCTCGCACAGCAGATGAATGTTTGCAGCAGCTCCAGGTTATGTTTGCTGATCTCAGCACAATTAGGTAAGCTATGATGGTCAAGGTGTGGTAGGTGCCACAAATTCATCACAAAATTTACTCACAAAAGATAACTTGCATTTACATTCAAATTTTGCTGGTAATTTGCAGCAAGTGCCTTTGCCCTCTGATATTTAGATTGAAAGATGAGAATTGAACAATTACATTAATAGTAATTTAATGTGATTTGTAAAGGTGTTTTAAGTGTAAATTTTGTATTACAAAATGGTAGGTGTTACTGAAAGTTGATCTTGCAGAATGCAGATAATATATTTCCAGATAAGATCAACTTTCGTATTATGATATGGAAAAGATAGGAATATATTTCCTATTATGATATTATTTCCTTTCAAATTATGTGCAGAAAGATATTTCCTTTCTCTTCACATAATTTTTTGGCTGTTTGTTTCTGAAATTCTAACATGTTACTTGATTTGTGTATATTTAGTATCTATTTATAGGTATGCTAAAGATTAATTTTTTTCTTGTTTGTCATCAGGAACCTGACTGAAATGATTGCACAATATAAAAAAGCTCGCCCTCAAAAGAAGAAGAAGATTTTTGTGAAGCAACCCTTTGCACGTTTCCAAGCTGAAAGAAAGGAGGAAATCAAGCAGAGAGGAGTGAGTGCTACTGTCCAGTAGAAAAATCGCTATCTCTCAATTTAGCTCTCTATGTTTACCACCTAATAGCAAACAGAAACACTACAATGTAGTGTTTCTGTAAGGTAGTTCTTAAGGCCTTAAAGTTTGATGAATCTTTCTTAGTTGAAATAAGTGATTTCAAATCAACTATTTATTCAAGAAAAATAAATAAATATAGTTAGATGAAATGGGGAGCTAAAATCAACTCTATATTCCAGAATGGAATGAATAATTATTTTTTAATTTGGCAGGTAATATCTCTTGGATATTATCTGTCATTAGCTGAGCCATCTTTTAATGTTAAAAAGTCGTTGCTCTATCCTTCTCTTAAAGGTTGCGTTACAGACTTGATTTCCAGAATGTTGATTTGTTTCAATTGGTTCATGGCTTCTGCCATTTAAATAAAAAATTTTTCCCTTGAGTTTATGCATCGAGTAAGAAATAGCTGCATTTACATTCAGAGACAAGGTATGCAAACGCACCAAAACTAGATCTGTGATTTGACATTCATCTGCATTCTTCATCCCATTGTATGAGTTGTAACTCCACTTGTCAAGTATAAGGAAGTTATTTTTATGTTTCATGAACTTCAATTTCAAGTCTGAGATTTCTTGATCATTTATATATTCTAGTTTCTGTCCTATGCAAGTCAATCATTTTTAATTAGTTCTTTTAAGGTATTTTCAAATTATTGAAGACTTCCATGCTCTAGCTTTGGGAAGTGGTGGTTGTTTCTTGCGATTCTCAGGAGCCCTGAATCTCAAGTTTTGTTCATCAACGGAATAGGCTCAATGGAATGTGAGCTGCAGCTATCATAATGAGATTTGATGCGGTCTTAGTTAGGTTCTTGTTTTATTTAAGCCACAGGAATCTTTGAAAAATTACGCCCTTGTGATCGTTAATGGGATGCAGTTCGTGGTTAACTGTATAGTATTCCAAACAAACTCACAATACTATATACTTTAATCCAGTAAAGTACTGATCCTCTTTTTCTATGTTCTAACAAGTGTATAACCTTTATCATTAACTGCTATGGACTGTACATATTAATTGGTGATCTGCATTTCCAGGGCAACTTCTTGACAACGGCAAGAGCCATGTATGCTGAATTGCCGGAAGAAGAGCGGCTGAATCGTTACGTGTTACCTTACCAACAAGAACTTGCCGAAAAATCGTAAGCTTGATATTTTTCCTTGTAACTACTTGGATTAGAATCCAAAGACATTTGACTTGTTGGGGTATTAGTATTCTGTGAGCCTTAACGGCCTGTTTGTCCTCTAAGTTGGGAGCTAGCATCTTGGTATGAAGACACTACGAGGAATTGACTTAGAGTTCACCTATCAATTTGTTCTGTTCATAGGAAAGCTTGGGATGTGATTGGGTAATAACAGTTATGATAATCTGTTTTTTAGTTATATCATTTATCAACTGGCAATGGGGAATAGAAGTGAAACAAACATTGGTGTAATCACCACAAAAATAAGTGTTTGCAAGTGTTTTGACTTTTGAGCCGTGATACAAATTTTATAATTGAATTGCAGCAGTGATGAATATTGTATGATTTGATTGTCCCCAGAGGAATGCAGGGTAAATTGTTCAGGGATACAAGCATCAAGACTCACTCCGCGCTCCATGTGAGTATTGTTGAATTTATCATTGTTAGCTTCCTCCTGCCCTTCACAGTTATTCCTGGTATAGTGACTCATTTCTGTTACTTCAGCTGCCCTGACACCTGGCACAGAAATTGTTATTCTTGTTTTACTCCATTGACCCGACTCCGGTTAGAATGTTATCAATACTATTTGTGCAAAACTCAGCTCCTCTCACCCATTAACAAAATTGTGAACACTGTGATGAGAGCAAGAACTGAATTAAAATGTGCACTTCAGCGATATAAGAAAGAAAGTGAATTCAATTAATTTTCTCAGTTTTGATGTTCTACTGCGAAATTGAAATTCAACATTAATCAATTATTGCGATAATTGGTCGGAAAATTAGTTTCATAGCTGTCTTCTGATCTATTCTGTCATTGATTGTTCATGTTCTATTCCTTTCCTGCTCTCATGTTTCTTATAGTTATGAGTGTAAAGAACGTACTAGGTGATGTATCATGACCACGTCCGCTGTCGGTGTTTCTTGTATCAATTATTTTTAATACTTGTTCAATGCGACGTCATAAATCAACGGTAAGTGTGTTTGTCAGGGCATTTTTTTTCTTAACACTCGCTAGAAATAATTACTAAATGTTCATTTGTTAAATATTCGTTTGTTAAATGTTCCTAGGAATACAGAGTTCTATCCATTTCCCTAAAGCGATTCTAGCAGAAGAATGACGGGAGAGACCATTCTAATACTAATATTAAAAAATCAACTGATAGGGTAGCGAGATTACGTAAATAATTGATGTTATAACAGAAACAAGTGAGTGCCAGAGTAGCGAGACGAGGTCTTGACTAATACCAGTGGTCCATTCATAGTCGCAGCTTATGTAGGCAGTCTATCATGATGTGATTGATGTCACTAGGCGTCAGCTCTTGATTGGGCGTCAACTTAGATGATAACATTCAAATGAACAAACTGTTCTGCATATATTAGATTCATGCTATACATTTTTCGATGTTCTAAAATGCTGCAATGATGTATTGCTTGACAAATTTAATGTTCTGGCTGAAAAGTGTGTTGAGATATTGGGGTTTATTGCCACCAGTTTCACCGTTAACAATAAATTGTTTGATGTTCTGCCTGTAAAATGTGTTATGATATGGAGGTTTCTTGTCACCAGTTCTACCGAGAGAAGCACAAGGATCTTACAATCAAGGAGGCCAAGCTGCAGTACGCCAATCTCTCCGACAAGAAAAAAATGAAGTACATTCGTCGCAGTTACAATGAGTTCAAAAGATTGAGTGTGAGTAACTGAGTAATAACATGCTCGTGAAGTTTTACTCATTTCATTCTTGTAAGAGGCCTCAAAATTCCAATAGAAACGAATTGAAACTAATGTTGTTTTGTGCTTTTTTTTTGCAGTGCACAAAGTTATGTGCTCTTGAGCTCCTTTGCAAAATTCTGATGATATTCCTTTTTGTGTAATTTCTTTCAATGACTCTTCATTTCTAAATGTTTGAATATTATCAACTTATTATCTCTTCCTTCATAGTTAACTTATATTTCTTGCTTCATAATACGAATCGTTGTGTATGAAGTTTTTTTATATACAGGAAGAATTTAATGAGGCCAAGAAGAAAACCACTGATGAGATCAAGCCGCCGTTTTGCCAAATCCGTAAAAACGATTGGCTTATGCTCCTCAAGTAAGCATTGTTTTTAGTAGGAAATATCCTAGGTGTTGTAACTGTCAGAAGTTTTGGAATGAACAGTTTGCATCTTTTTAAAACGTGCGAGGTTCTATGATTGCATTACTGGCATAGAGAGACAGTTTGAGTTGTAAGAACTCGCCTAACCGCAAAGCAGTCACACCTTTGTAATAGATATAGATCTTACATTAATTTAACCTTCCACACGCGAAATAATGTTACTTGCCCTCATTTTGCATGTTCAAATATTCTATCAAAACAGCTGTGCGCAGTGGATGAACAGAAGTAATCTCTGTGATAAACAGAATTTTATTTTTTCAAGTACTTGATTATTTTATGGCATTCTATATCATTGTCATGTATAGTTTTTTCATTGAAATTTATTCCAAGACTAAAACAACTCCTGGTGTATGCCAAATTTTTTATTTTCTCTCCATCGTTAATATGGAATTAGGTTCTACAACATATCCACATTTTTTCGCTTTGATATTTTATGTAATCTTGTAACGTATTGTATTCCTTTGAAGATCCGAGGGTATGCCGGTCATGGAAGTAAAAGGTCCTAAGGATCTCTTTTTGCGGGACCCCGACAACGCAAATGCAGAAAACCTCTCACATGATGCCTTCATGAAACACCCTAACAAGAAGATCTATTGCAACGAATATATTCGGGTAACCAGCAAATTGGCATTAATTTCAATCTAGCCTTAATTTTTCATTTTTTAGCTGCTGCAGTAAACTCCATCCTTTCCTCCATCACCTTGAAAGATATTTTTATTAACCAGCTTCATTCACTTAACTCTCACTAACACATTTTTACTCGAAACGGAATGACCATCGATCATCCAATTCTGTTAAATATTTTATTAATTCAGCTTGCTTATTGGGATTTATCGTTACATTCTTGGTATTTACGTCATAAAGATGAAACTTTTGGTGCAGTTTATCTTATTAGTTATGGAGATGGTTGTTAAGCATTCAAGCGGTTGTTAAGCATTCAAGATTGCATCGGATTGTGCTGACATGACGACTCGGACTATAAAAATTTGCAAATACTCATTTTACTACTATTTTTGCAGATGCAAGAAGACTTCAAAACCAAGTTTGAAGCTTGGATGCCAACAGTAAAAGACGATTTACTGAAGCCGCCTGCCGCAGCATATTACAAGGTAAAACGTATTTGTTGATTAGGCATTTATTTTACCGGATGGAAGACCAATACAATTTTAGTGGCGTGATTTTTATATTATCTTCGCAATGCTTCCGTCATCCTGACGTAATATTAATGTTAATTATTTTGCTGAATCTTAGCATCATTCCTATGGTAAAAGAAGAACGACCTTCGTAGAATCAAATTACAATCGTATTATTACAAGCATCTTGTGTATCATATTATATATACAATCTTAAACGACATAAAACTTAAATCCCTGAGTTGCCGAACAGATTCTCGCGGTAATGAGACGGAAATGAGACTGCTAGGAAGTTTTCCTTGAAGTGTCAAGGTTTTGCTGTAGCATCACGCCTAATATGCCGTGTCTGGTCACATTCATTTTGCCCAATAATTTTGCTCTTTTCCAGGATGTCATGAATATCAAAGTACCAAAACCAAAACAGGAAAAAACCAAATCACCAAAACGGAACGTCAGTGCCGCCAAGAAAAAAACTGCAGTCGTTTCGAAGGTGAGAGCTTAATTTTGCCTTAATCTGCTAGTGCACTTGAACATTTCTCTCTAGTGCTGTAAAAATATGAGCGTTCAAAAAACTGTCAAAATTTATCAGAGAAAAAACAACCTTACAATTTTTCGTGCCCGAATTCAATGTTATGCACACAACGTGTTTTCAGATCGCATCGAAGGTGCGAGAGTTGGAAGACAGCTTTGTGGAGTCAGGAATGCTTGGAAATTTCCCAGGAGAACCCAAGATTCCTCCACTGACAGTCAAGGACTGCTTTGCTCATTACTACAAATCGAAACATCCAGAAAACACTCCGAAAGATATTGCCATTGCTTTCAAGAAGCTTGAGGAAAGCCAAAAGGTGTCCCTGGAAGAAGCTGTAGAATCATCGAAGAAGAATTTCTTAGAGAAAGTGAAAAAATTTGTGGCAGATCTGTCATTGATGGAGCGTAAGATTTACATTGGCCAAAACAGGGTAAAATTTGTCAAAATGTTTCTTGGAAACGATATTTTTGAAGATGATTACCCGTGTTCTGAGTATCCGCCTTTCAAGAAGCCCTCCAAGAAGAACAGTTTAAGTGAGCCTTCTAGTGCAGGTAAGACGCTTACATTATTGGATATGTGGAAGCCCCAAAAAAATTCCGAAGTGACAGATGACGACCACCAGCCATGCACGTCTACACCGCTTGCTGCTGGTAATAGTCGGAAACTCGCCGGAAAGGAGCACAAACGTTTGATGAGTTCAAACAAATCGCCGCGATTAGCTTCTCCGTCCAAGAAAAGTGAGCAGGCAATCAATCGGAGCAACAACAGCAGTAGCGGCAGTTCGGTGAAAGAGTCGGATTCTGAGGACACGGATCAAGGATTGACACCACCTGCGCAAACCAAGGTAATTCCCTCCCTCTCGCGTACCTCGTCACCTACTTCATACTCAGATAGGGACTCGGAAGATGATTCGGACGAGGAGTTGCCTACTAGAACAGAAAATGATTCTGTATCTTGCCAACGTTCTAAATTAGGATTGAGCAAGTCTACGCTTGGCTTAATTTCAGCATCAAGTCCAAGGAAGACGTCATTTACGATGACAAAAAATGAATCTGCGTCCAGCGAACGTTCAAAAGCTGGATTGAGCAAGTCTACACTTGGCTTGATGTCGGCGTCAAGTCCAAGGAAAGCGTTAGCTACTGCGATACAGAATGAATCTGCGCCCAGTGGACGTTCAGAATCTGGATTGAACAAGTCTTCTTTCGGTGTAATGTCGACCTCAAATTCGAAGCAGAACAAGAAAAGGAAGCTGGAAAATAAGTCAGTGAATGGCTCAGGTAATCTTGCTTTGGCCCAAAAGAAACTATGTAATTCAGGGAGAGATAAAGACATCGCTGAAAGACGCATCTCCCTTTCAAGGAATTCATCTGACTTGTCATCCGAAGAAGATAAACCTGCAAGTCCCGAACGCAAAGTGACAAATTTGAGCCATCAAAGCGTTAGAAACAATTCTTCTGGCGCATCTGACTCGTCATCCGAGGAAGATGAACCTTCAAGTCCTGAACGCAAAGTTACAAAATTCAGTGACAAAAACGTAAAAAAAAACCCTCGTAGCGATAGTGAAGACTCGAATGAGTATAGTGACGAAGAGCTTGTCCCGGCGTGGGGCAGTAAGTGACCACACATCCAATTTTAATGAATTTTTTACAATTTTAGGTTACCGATAATAAGAATTGCTGTCAATTTTTCTACAATCAATCTCAATATAATCTCTCAAATTTCAAAATTAAACTCAATAATTAAAAGTAAATCTGTCCGAAATTCTGAAAGGTTTGATGTTGGAGAGTGTGGAGCTAAATTTGTCGTGTAAATGTTATTTTAATAAAATTAAAATATGAAATCAGTTGGTCTAGTGCTTTCTACACGTGAGTCGTTTCGAAAAAACAATTTATTACTTTTTCAGTTGTTAATAACATAGGATGATAGGAAGTATCCCTAGCTTCGACTTCTTGTTATGATCACTTGATGCTTGAGAAAAAAATAGCCGGGGCGTTCCACAAATTTTGACAACAAGTAGCAGGTCAATGAAAGGACGAATGAAAAATAACTTTACTTTGTTCAATACTTGAGTTACATGAAACGATACCATGGGAAGGACTAGTTTCTGTACGTGAGTAAATCTGTTACGTATTTGCTAGAGTTCCCAAGCTAATGTGAAGGCCGCCTAACAGTCCACGTTTGTTCACATTGACACTTTCGATGTGTATCATTGTAATAGTTAAGCTTCCGGGCCTATACTTTCAAAAAAAGTTGCGAGATCGTAAGTTCATCCGCCAATCAGTGACGGCCTTTCAAGCAAAATCCGCCAATCATAGACAAGAAAATATAGCGTAATTACTTAAGTTCACTTTGCGAGTTTTGGGAGTATCGCCCCAGTTCAGATTTTTTCTAAATCTGAAATTAATGCAGGCAGAGTATGTGACCCGGCTCTTGAAGATTAAAATTTTATCAGTTTGCGACGTTGTTAATCTACGTTTATTGTTTGGATTGCTGTAAGTCCATTAAGCTCATAGCATGAAATGTTTAAGGTGTAAATCAGCCACTGATTTGAACGATACATAGTAAGAAAACTGTACAGGAGTAACCTGATGTAGCATCTCAAGGTTTTTGCATCCATGAACGTTACTAGAGCTAGATTTTAGTTTAAAATATATGCTCTATGATGAGGGACTCGTTAGTTAGTCAGTCTAGTACAATAAACTATCCCTAGTTGATAGGCACATTTTTATTTGTTCGCTCATGATCAAGTTTGAAAATACCTACATCTAGATATGCTATTGCAGTACTAAAAATTTTTTGGTGCTGTGATGAAATAAAGTTTTGTGGTTTGTTGAAATAAAAGTCATGAGCGCGCACCTGAACTCAAGTTTCTAATAGTCCTCTTATCCCTGCAGCTGTGACCTGAAAAATGAAGAGTCAATAATGAAAATGTGAAGCAGAATTTGTTCAATAGGCCCTACATTGTACAGTAAACTGCGTTACCAAAATTTCAATTCAAATATCTGTCACAATAAAGTGGCACGCTGCAACCAAAAGGAAAATATTGGCTCTTCATTAACAATAAAATTTTGACGTCAGATGCTTACAAATTAATTATCTTAAATAATATCATGATTTCTAACATAGTTATTAGAACGAACGGTAACTCGTGAATATACCAGACCAAGAGAACAAAAAAAAAAAATAATTGTCTTTCGTCTATAAAGAGCTCTGCGATATCCACAATGCCACAACCTGAAACCGTGGCCGTGAAATTTGGTTAAGTTACTGACAGTGTAGTTTAGTTAAAAAAATATTTATTACATACGAACTCATCATGACATGCCTTGCTATTATAAGACCAAGCTTGGCTATCAGTTCACTTTTATCTTGGCTGGCAAGAATGAGTGTCGCGTCTGAAATAAATTTTTTGACGTTTTTGAAAATCAAGGAGCATTTTTTGTCTTCTCCAAGGTGTTAGATTTTAACAATTATTCGTGGAATGCTGCAGGCCGAAGCAAGTCGTGACAAACAGAACATACTTCCTACGAGTGACGATTCGAACGTAATTTTCAATTTAAATTATAATTTGAATATTCAATACATCTCATAGCTAATTTATCATGAAACTTTGTGAAATGTTTCAAGCACTTCCACACGTTATGTATGACCTGATTAATGATGTGCATCAGCGCGTTACTCAGCTTTAGTTATTAAAAACACTGAAATGGGATAAATTACCGCATAAGAACAGGAAGCAGTGGCTTTATGGGGAGACTTGAGAAGCGTTGCATTCCTTCTTCCGTGCTGCCAGCGAAGCAACAGACGAATAGTAGCGCAGTGCCCCCAACTCTCCCCCAGGGCGGGCGTCAACGTGGCGTTCGTTTCACGCCTAGTAGTCACAGACTCGCTGACAGAGATTGTGTCACTCCGCGCACCGCTCAATTTACGTTTTAGATTCTCCTTGTTTGGGCTCGAATTGAGATCTCTGCCTTCAGTCATCTCTTCCTCATGAGGGGTGGCAGTGCGCCGACGTTTTTCATCGTCCGATACGCGGTCATTCAGACACTCGGAATTTTTCATGAGTTTAGAGTCAATATGTGCGATGCGAGTCGTCATTTGATTGGTGACAACCACCTGAAAAAGTTGAAGCAATTCGGTGTTTGTTGAAGCTGCCTTATAGGCCGGTGGCATGAATTAATAAATCGTGCATGAGAGAAGCATTGTCTAGCATAAAAAAAGAGAGCTCAGCAAACTGAAAGAAAATTATATCAACCGTGGTTTTAAAAGTCTTGCTACTTGAATTGAAACAAAACTTCAGATCATCATTAGGTACGGTAATAAAAATGATGCAGCAACTGCGTTTGGCGGGGGTATCAGTGGATCATTTGCTCATTTCTTTAAAATACGAAAACATATATTTTATCATTTACCAAAAGTTTTGCAATCCATATGTAAGGCTTCAGTTGAATAAACGCAAAGAAGATAGTTGGAATCCGACAGATGAAGTAACTCCTCAATAACGAACGGTGAAATTACCAACCGCGACTCGATGATTCGTTGCTAGTTGGATAAGATCTTGAGTAATGGAGCACAACTGGCTTGTTCGAATCCTGCAATCAAAGTTACGTGATTTCTGCAGTTAATCGGTTCAGGAGAAACTTCTTCTACAGCATAGAAGAATGGACACGCTTGCAGAAGATTATTCAAATTATTACATTCAAAAATGAATTAATTATTCTAGAGACAAAGTGGTGATCCATTCTTAGCTGAACTATTAAGAGATTTTGAAACGAAACGAAAGTCGGATCACTTTTTCTACACCTGTTGTCGTGGGTGTCGTGACGAAGGTGGAATGCGATGGAGTCAATGATGACGATCCTCACCCGAGGATGTTTGGAAATAAATTCAGGCAACAGCTTAACGCAGGAAGCCACACTGAGTTGTGACAGGCATCTGAAACATCGGTAAGTTATGAATGACTATGCAGTGACATTTTATTTCGTTTGTCAAACTGTTAATGGGTGCTGAACCCTGGAAAGGAGGAGCGCAGCAAATTCGAGACTTTTTGGCCAAGTTTACTGTTCTATTAATATTATATTTGGCAAGGGCTATTTGTATATTAACTACGATATGGTTGAGTCAGCCTCACGCAAATAGCGAATGCTGAGCCTATTTTCCCTGTTGGCTTTTTATCTCGTATTAAAAGTTAACATTTATTCATTTTACATAATTTACAATGAATAGTTGTGATGTCGATTGTAGATATATACAAGAGTAGAATGTGAGCATAGCTGTTCAGCATTCCCACAAAAATGCTTAATATTTCTAACATTAAAAAATACACATTAAAAATTACGTATTAAATTATCGTTAAAAACAGATCTTTGATGGAAAATATTGCTGGCAGTTTATAACCTTTAAGTTCTAACTAATAAATCATAAGCATAAAAATTCAACTTAATTGGAACAAACATTCGTACCTTCAAATAATTCTGATTAATTTCTAGACTGCCAGCTTTTCTTATTTGTTTGGTGATGGAGCATTTTGTATTTTACGTTCATTATATATTTTCTTCATTTGAGGACACATTGCTTAACATTAAACGCAAAGCAAGAAAAACAAGCACACAGTGAACTACTATAGCCTAACAATGCTAAAACAATCACACTTGTTCATGTACGGATATACCAAGGTTCATTAAATAACAATGGAAATTAATTTGATCACAGATTTAAAGTACCGGAGTGAAGAAGACACGTGTATATTATCCTCAGAAACCAAAGTTTAAAATACTGGAACCAACCTGAAATAATGTACATTCTTCAGTATGGACTCTGAGGTAAAGGAGGACCCATTTTCTTCCTTGTCTTGATTCTGATAAGCATCAGATGAACGGAGTTGATCACAGTGAGATACAGCTGAGTCAGCAATTTCTGGAGAAAAAAAAATATTGTACAAAAAATAAAGAATTACGTGCATTGCTAGTTCAATATAGCCGTGACTACTGAACCAATATCTAATTAATTAATAGCTATTTTGTAAATAATTTAAAGACCTGTTGCAAGGGTCAGTAATGGAATAAAATTTTATCAAATTCAATTCTGAGCACAAGTAAATAATATCGGATATTGCTGAAAAACGAACTTTGATTCTGAAGCCAATAGAAACTATCATTTGTATAACAAATGAAACTATCATTTGTATAACAAATGAAACTATCATTTGTATGACAAATGAAACTAGCATTTGTCTTACCAAGTAGTCTGGATGCAATGAAGCTGCCCTCAGCATCTATGAATACAGCTTCTCCCTCCATACCATGGCACCACTTCGGCAGCTGAACACTGACACTCAACTGTAAACTAAAGTCAAACCCATCAATAAACTTTAATCTTGAGATTCAAGAAAGTTCCAAATTAATGATCACTTCCGTTGTGAAGCATTCAAGATGATTGGAGTTACACTCGAAGCTTTAAAACTAAGAGCATCTTATTTACCTTATTGTTGTACCAACTTTATTAAAATACAATTATGTCATTACAGGTTTGTTATATTTTCTTATTGGGTATTACACTTCTGCATCTCAGAACAATTTTCTCGAAATTAACTAGGATAACGAAAGGAGAAATTTCTGGGATAAAAATAACAGGACAAAGCGAAAACATTTTCCCAGAATAAAGGTATGAAACGCTGTAATACTTGTGTCCCGGGCTCTGAAACTTTTGTCCCAGTAATTATGAAACTATATGATAGATAGGTATAACGCAGACCGAGCGGCTGACACAGTGCCGCCCATCAGCCGCTTAGGAGAGTGCGGAAGGGCATTCTCAAGCCCTGCAACGTGCTACAAATCAAAAGTGGCATCTAGGAATATTTGAGGTGCAAAGGAAAGGCAAGACCCATGACGACCAAAGTATAAACCAGGTATACCGTACGCAAATTGTTATTACACAACTTTGTCACAAGGTATGCACTAAGTGGCAAAATTTATGAGGTCAATGATGGCAACACATCGAGCATGCATAGATATACTCTCTTCTGCTAACGCTGGTGAGCTCTAAGGCTGGACAAACATAAAGCCGGGCAAAAAAGAGACTTTATTATGCATTAAATGAACTTGAGAACATTGCAATGAAGATAAGGCTTCATTGTATTTTAATAACCAAGGCCCGTTTGAGAATGATAGATTAATAGGATGTAAGTTACGATGTCCGCTTATCAAAGCTACAGTTTACACACCAGCACATCATTGTAGGAAGTCTCTCGTGACATAACCACCTGTAGCCTACCGCAGATGAGTTAATAAGTCCCAACCAATCAGCATCTCCTGCTCTTTGAACTTCTGCATTTGGCATCTCAGTCATTCAGTTTTAAATAATGCATTTTTAAAACGATGCATAATTATTTCCCGGGCAGATGTCTTTTTCGCAAAAACTTGTTGGCTGGACATAGGCTCACAATGAGCAGCTACTGGCCTCTACTTGCTGTTGAAGCAGGCAGTACCCCTGTACACGAGGCCATTAGCCTGATAATTGGTGACGATTAGAACTGACCATAGCTTCCATAAGAAGCAAAGTAGCACAAAAGATTGCATCGATTTCTACCGTGGAGTCTTGCTATTAATTAGATATATTCAAAATTCCAAGCTGATTCATTCAGAATTAAGAGACTTATGAGCTTTTCAGTTGCACAAAATTTTGCTTTTTCCGATTTTAATCAAAAACGAAATGACATAAAAATATGTAATAGGTAATTTTTTCTGCTGCGCATTTAAAATAATTAGTTGTGTTTTCAATTTCACTCTGGCCTATCATATTTGCTAGATGGGCAACAGCAATATCATTTTACATAGTAATATACCTGGAACATTGTAAACCAACAAAATTTTAATTGGATAATGTGTGAAACAATTCATTATTTAAATTTCAAATTAAGAATTAACCAGTACATCTTGTTATGTCTCCTTTCAACTGGGATGTCTTGTCTTGGTATTGTTGCAGAATTAACATAGAGATTTGAAAATTGTCACGATTATTATCCCTAACTGGGACGAACCTTGTCTTGTTTCAAGTGGGAAAATTGTCCAAATGCATTAGTCTATTGGATATGATGCATAATGGTGTTATTTTTCTCTGTAATTCCAGGATAAATTTACACCAACTTTGCCCTGCATGCTTATGATTTTGCTTCATACAATAATTAAGCAATGACTTAACATTTTTTTTTTCAGGGAGGGGGGCGAGCAAACTTCAGAGCTAAATTTCCAAAACTGTACTTCTGGTGTGCTCTAACTTTTACTTCTGATATGATGAGCAGACTGGGTGAGAGATAAATGATGAAATATAACTAGTCTCATATGAAAGGATTTTACCAACTCCAGTCAACCCACCAGAGTTGGGTCTTGCCAGCTCCTGGAGTGCCAACAACTTCAGTGAGGGCACCTAGAAGGACACCACCACCCAAAACCTCATCAAGTGAAGGACACAGGGTGATGATGTGACTCAATGATCCACCTTCCTGAAAAAAAACAAGCATTAAAATCAAATAAAAAAATTTTTCAACTCAAAATGAAAGCCCAGTGGCAAAAAAAAAAAAAAACAGTAAAATTCATTACTGCAATAGTACCTACAAGTTAATAAGAACTTATCGGAGTTTTTTCAACCATTACTAAAAAACCCAACAATTTTAGTAAGAAAGGCTTGCATAAAACAGTACAACATATGATGCTCATTTAGTCATAAACCTATAATCAAATAAAAGCTTGGGCTATCCTCTTCTCATCAATAGCATTAGCATCAAAACTAAATCATTCAAATACATCTTAAATTCGGATGAATTAGTCATTAAAACGATTGAAGAGTGATCATTTCAAATTAGATTCTATACAACCAATAAGAGAGAAAAATATCAGAGGCACAGCACTCACTTCTATCATATCAAGAACAGTTTGGCCAGCATTTTCTGAAGACACAGAGGAGCAAAGACGGAGAGCTTCACAACAGTCCATCAGGTTCAAGCCAGTCACTGAACAAAACAAAATATTCTAGATGAAGCAAAAAAAAAAATAATAATAATAAAAATAAAAATAGAGGAAATAGATGATTTTTGCATATACTATACCACAATTATATATTTTTTTAATATACAAATAATCTTCTTCATCTTAAATAATAATAAAGTTACCTTCAAAGACTGCTTGCATTCACCACTCACCTTCAGACAAATGTGTTGGAGAAAAATCTAGCAAGTCATGAACCTTAATGAGATTACACATATGAAGTCTTGCAGTAACTGAAGTAGGCAGTCCTAAAGAAATCAATGTCCTTTCCTTTTCCTTCATTGTTTGCAATCACTTGTAAATGGCTGTTCCCCACAAAATTTAACTATGTTATATTATTTATTTTATGTTATTATTTTTATTTATGTTATAGAAATTTTGGATAAAATGCAAGAATTATTCATGATAATGGCAAACAGATGGAATACTATCATGTCTCAATATTATGGAAATTAAACTTGTTGAAAAATATTATCATCACAAAAGCAACACCGTCAAACAGGGTAAAAAGGGACGGTTTTGAGCATTTTTTGTTAATAACTTCTTACCATGAAACATTTCAGAAACAAATTTAGGCTCATTTTATAGCTTTTTGTGAGGGCTATCCAATGGCATCTTAAAAAAAATCCATATGCTATTTGTAAGGTGCCAGATGCAAAATAAAACCGTCCCGATTTACCCCTGGGAACGGGTAATCCGGGACACTTGCAATAAAAGTTAATTTTAAAACGTTTGAAGCAAGCAGAGTGTACTCATCCATTACTAACAGTACTTTTAAGTCCTCCTCTTTCATTGTAGATGATGTAGATGTAAAATAAATGACATTTTCTGTGATTTTTACTCGTTTTTCCATTATTGATATTATATTACCATATTCACTAATTACCGTATTATTAATGTGATACTGTATTACTGCATGCATGGACATGCCATTGAGCATTGATAACGACCTTGTCCACTGCAAGCTTCATATCAGCAGCCATGTAGCATTACTTCTGTACCTATCTGTAAGCTTACAGGATGGTTTGTAATTTCGCACAATTTTAATCGAGTCAAGTGATTTCACTATAACAAAAAAGATTGTGAAAAACATACCTGAAACAGAAAATAATGTTTTAGTGACAACCATCATATGTTTTGGAAAAATAAATCATAGTTTAGGTCAATTACTTTTCATTCTATGATGCCCGGTGCACAATTATATATATAGTATTCTATGTACAATTTTGTGACAACCAATGATGCACTAATTTTTTTATAAGTGAATTTTTTCGCTGAGCAAGGTAAATGTAATCAAAATTTACAACAAAAATCAATTTTTTCGTTAACTGGAACCTTTGCTAACTGAGGTTCTACTGTAAATGCATTTTTAAGGGTGTCCCTAATTACCTAAGGGGGGTGTCCAGAGTGGCGAGTAGCCTCGCCGTGCGGAAATGGCTGCCATTTTTTTCAATGAGATAGGCAAATTCCGTCAATTATGTTTTCAAGCCAACACCTGGGTGCAATTTTTATGTAAGTAAAATTTTTTAATACGGCGAATATTTTTTTTGCTCTAGACCTTAGCAGAGGTACTTTTCCAAAATTGCACTGTTCACACTTTTTTTCAGCGATTTTTTAGAGATAGCAAATGTTTGATTTCTTGTCTAGCATTATACATAATAGATAGTAAAAATGTTGAAGTTTACGCCACTATTTTTAGTTTTGCAATATTTTGATTAGTTTAGCTGCTACAACATTTTAACGAAATGTGGGACGCGCGTCCCGATTTACCCCGCCCATCCCTTTTTACCCCATTTGACGGTATATATCTTGTAATTTGTATTACCAATTAATTTGTATTAGGGTAGATAAATAAAATTTACTTGCCATAGTTCTATGAACACAATTACTCTGAACTAAACACACATTCTTTAAGCTACAACCGCTGTATTTTATTTGCAAGTATGAAATTTTACCAGCTTGCATTTAGTTATGGAGGAGGACAGGCAGTGATGGGAATGGAAATCAGTTTGTGCTGGATTAAAATCAATTAATGCTACTTTTTATAACACTTCTCTTTAACTTCACTTCTTGTTTGTCTGTTTGTCTGTCTGCTACAAATCTTATAATCGATATTAAACACACTTCTACCTGTCCAATCGATCTGAAATTTGGCACACTTGCGTAAAGTTGGAGTTGGAATCCATTGACAGAATAAATATTTTTAGAAATTTAAAATTTTTTTTTCAATAATAAAAAATAATTTTGTCTGCTACAAATCTTATAATCCATATAGGGTAAACGCGGTATATTCCAACATCGTGGGTAATTCCGTCACCTCTTTAGTTTTTCCTTTATATTAAGCTTTGTTTTAGTTCCATGCGTTCGTTGATGGTTGAAATGGTGACGTCATACATTTGCGTTGATTTCAAGTGGTAAATAAATTAATAGATGATTAAGTTGAGAAATGGATTTAGACACATGAAAACTAATTCCGTCACAATTTTAATTGTACACACACAGATCGTTCCAAGCTGTGTACAAAAATTAAAATTTGCTTAATTAAAAGCTTGAAAGTTTTTAATTAAAAGCGTAATTAAGTAGTGTTCAATATTCATTAGTGTTCTAATTCAAAGCCGTGTTGTATTCCAATACAGCTCAGTGAGCTCACACAGTGAACGGAATTCAAACACGTGGATGACGGCATTACGTATCAGTAGAATTTGAAGCGTGGACGGAATACGCCTCACCATAGTGGCAAAGCAGAGAGTTCTTTAGACTCTCCCTCAAGTTCATTTTTGAGTCCTATAAGTAGACAAGTAAAGCATAGTGGCAAAGCAGAGAGTTTTTTAGACTCTCCCTCAAGTTCATTTTTGAGTCCTATATGTAGACCATTAAAGTATCATGGATACCGGTACTAGCATTATCATACTTAAGAAATAGGTTTAAATCATGAGTAAATGAGGAAATTAAAAATGAACTGATTCTAAAAAAGCTCTGGTTTGCCACTATGCGCCTCACCACATGCCGAATATTGCCACACACAGTGACGGAATATAGGGATTTGGTAGGTTTGCATTCTAAAGGCTTTTAAATAAATATGGCAACATTTTGTGACGTTTCGTTGTTGCTGACACATAGTGCAGTGTTTTGAGAGTCACATAAAGCAAACAGAACTTGTGTAACGCATACGGTTATTTTTTATATTTTTTCATTTCTCGATGCATCCTTAATGTGACAGAATATACCGCGTTTACCCTATGACACAATTTGACCTGTCCAATTGATCTGAAATTTTGCACAATTGCATAAAGTCAGAGACAATGCATAATCAATTGACAGAATAAATAATTTAGAAAATGTACAAAATTTAGATATCTTAAAAAAATTTTGAAAAATAATTTTATTTTCCATATTTGAAAATAAAATTTACAAATTCATGGTACATGTGTTTAATGTGTATCATCCAAGACAGTGAATTGTTCAGAAGTGTTGTCTTTAATTCTTAGAATTCCAGCCTGCAGCTCACACAGTGAACGGAATTCGAACACGTGGATGACGGCATTACGTATCAGTAGAATTTGAAGCGCAGACGGAATACGCCTCACCACGTGCCAAATATTGCCACACACAGTGACGGAATATAGGGATTTGGTAGGTTTGCATTCTAAAGGCTTTGAAATAAATATGGCAACATTTTGTGATGTTTCGTTGTTGCTGACACGTAGTGCGGTGTTTTGAGAGTCACATAAAGCAAACAGAACTTGAGTAACGCATACGGTTATTTTTTATAGTTTTTCATTTCTCGATGCGTCCTTAATGTGCAAGAATATACCGCGTTTACCCTATGACACAATTTGACCTGTCCAATTGATCTGAAATTTTGCACAATTGCATAAAGTCAGAGACAATGCATAATCAGTTGACAGAATAAATAATTTAGAAAATTTACAAAATTTAGATATCTTAAAAAAATTTTGAAAAATAATTTTTTTTTCAGTATTTGAAAATAAAATTACAAATTCATTGTACATGTGTTCAATGTGTATCATCCAAGACAGTGAATTGTTCAGAAGTGTTGTCTTTAAAAAGTACGTAATTTTCAAACTCATATTATTAGCTACTATCATTGCCATCATATAATGCCATGATTCCTCTTCTTCTTCTTTGCAGGGGGTCCACACAGGGTGAACATAGAGCCACAGCCCACAGGCCACAGGTCTGCCTGATGGATGACTATTGGGCCTCAAGGTCAAGAGCTTGTTGCTGGTTAAGTTTTTAGCCTCTTGGTACATGAAGGATGAAGCTAGTCAGTGCTCTCTTAAGAGAGATCAGTTTTCATCATCTCATGTAGCTCTGAACAGGATTTGAGGACTTTAAAGAAGACGAGTACCATATTAGTAAATGGAACTAGAATAAATGTTTATTTGAGGCAAAGCATAATGGGTAAATCAGTGGTTCCCAAACTTTTTCTGGCTGGCGCCCCCTTTGGCTCCCTAGTAAATTTCTAGCACCCCCCACAGGCCACAGGCACATATGTTGTTGTTGTACTTAATTGGCCTAGTTGTACTTAATTGGCCTGTTGTACTTAATTGGCGTTAACGAACTTTGATGGCCTAGGATCCGCACTTGCCATCGTACATCAACGCACGTTCATGCATCATTTCTAATAATTATATTATCTAAGGGGACGATAGAGTACCGGGTACTATTGAGTACCCGGTACCGCACCGGGTCTTCTGTGATGGAAAGATGCAGCCTCAATCATGTTTGGTTGTGGCAGTTGGCTCGGCTTCTACTTAGAAATCCTGGTAAAGCTTAGACGCAGCACGCCTTTAAAGTTTCAGTTCGATAAATTTATTCGGGATCTTGAAGTAGTACCTACCTCGAAAGTAGCACTTTAAGTGGCTGCTCTTGTACCTAGAGCTCACGCCATCGGTAACGGTTCAATCATTGTTGATCCTCTTCTTCGGAGTTTGACAATTGGACGGTTAAAAATAGCTGTGATGGATAGATTAGCAAGCAGCATACCATCGTGGTGAAACTTTTATAGCGATAGCTACCCATGGTACTCTGTCACCTTCTTCAAACTATGACGTCACCTGAGTAAACGATATGAGTTCGTATCACCTTGAAACCGTTAATCAATAGGTTTTGCATTTCTTAGGCAATTTGGAGTTCCTATTTTGATCAAAATCGTATTAATTAAGTTTTTATACTGATGATGAAGCTGGACTCCGATAAGTTTTCACTGCAGACAAAATTAATTTTTTTGGCGTTTTCTTTTATTTAAATGCTTAGTTCATATGACAAGTTGCACCGAATCCGTCATTTCCTATTCTAAAGTAGAATTGACTTTCCATATAAATTTAAAAACAACCCACACTTTATCTAACTATTACAATTTGGAATTTATGCAGAATTTGTCACAAATTTTCATAAAGCATCGAACGAGGAGAAATGCATTGACCAAACCTTCATTACATTCTAACAATAATTAATGCTCTGTGAGCCCGACTGAGGAAAGTCTAATTCTCAGCTCGGATTTTTTTTTAGAAGGCCGTAGACTGATTTTTTCTTTATAAACAAAATTAGCGGAGCCTCACAAACACGACATACATACGACATTCACCAGATGCAAACGATCAGTCACATGCAGGCTATATCAATCAAACAGGTCATTCACAAGAAAACGATCATTTATTCGACACATGCGACCGATCACTTGTTCGCTACATGCAACCGATCTCTTATTCGCCACATGCACACGATTAATTATTCGCCATACACATACGATTAATTGTTCGCCACGGGCATGCGATCGCTTATTCGCCACATGCACACGATTAATTATTCGCCATACACATACGATCAGTTATTCGCCACGTGTGAGCGATCACTTATTCGCCATGTAAACATGATTAGTTATTCGCCATATGTATACGATCGAATGTTCGCCTCCTGCAAACGATCAATAATTCGCCAATCAATCAACTATTCGCCACACACAAACCTACACTTAAAACGATAATTTAGGAGCTTGGCTTCATGGAAGGCGCGACATTCACTGCATTGAATCACGTAGCATTAAATTTGACTTCTGCCGAGGAGAGCCAAAAATAAAATGAAATACGAGCTTGCTTAGTAAGGCTGCATAACTTTATAACGTAACCATTTAACTTTGAGTAGTTTTAATTGAACATAATATAAGTTTGCAAATTACTTTTCAAAGACAACACTTCTAAAGAATCCAGTGTTGCCAAATGCCAATGTTACAGATTTACAATGAATTTCTAATGTTGGTTTAAAATATAAAAAAAATTAATTTTGCAATATTTTTTAATATATAAAATTTGTTTTAAATTATTTATTCTGTCAATTGATTCGTGCATTGCCTTCAACTTCACACAAGTGTGCAAAATTTCAGATCAATTGGACAGGTAAAAGTGTATCAAATAAAAATTATAAGATTTGTAGCTGAAAAAATTATTTTTTCAGTTTTTTTGATATTGAAAAAATATATATATTTTTAACATTATTTATTTTGTCATTTGATTCATGCCTTGTCTCCAACTGCAAGTGTGCAAAATTTCAGATCGATAGGATAACGTAGGAGTGTATTTAACTTCGATTATAAGATTTGTAACAGACAGACAAACAAGAAGTGAAGTTAAAGAGAAGTGTTTTAATAGTAATAGGCGTTTAAAAATTACTTTTTAATTACTTTAAAAATTACTTTTTAAAGACCAAACTTCCAAAGAATCCAGTGTCTCCGATGTGGCACATGTACGATGAATTTCAAATTTTATTATCAAATATTACAAAAATTAATTTTTACATTTTATTTTTAAATTAAAGAAATTAAAATTTTCAGAAATTATTTATTCTGTCAATTGATTCATGCATTGCCTCCGATTTTACGCAAGTGTGGAAAATTTCAGATCAATTGGACAGGCAGAAGTATGTTGCTTATCGATTATATGATTTGTAGAAGATAGAATTAGTTTTTTAATTTTTATCTGATTTTTTTTTTTAATTTCAAAATGATTTAATCTGTCAATTGGTTCATGCATTGTCTCCGACTTTACGCCAGTGTGCAAATTTTCAGATCGATTGGAGAAGTAGAAGTGTGTTAAATATCGATTATAGGTGTGTTATATATCGATCTGTGATGTTAAGAATCGGCGACAGGCTACGGCCTAATAAATGCTGAAACCGTTATTATTATTATCATTATTATTATTATAATAATCTCCAAATTCAATTATCAAGTAATATCTCCCAAACTAATAAATGCAGCACAATGAAACTTGGAACATGTATTCATCAGAACTTACCGATGATGTTTAGCACGTGAAAATTTTTTAAATTTCACCTTCATTCGTGAGTTACAGTGGGGGGAAATAAATATTCGTACACTTGAAAAATCGTATTTTAATGTATGTAAGTACACAAACTTAACAGGAAAAGTGATTTAAATTATGTATAGAGACGCATAGTATTCAAAAATACTATCAAAAGAAATTAAATCTCAATGCAACAAAAAACAATGCAACATCTGTCTCTTATACACATCTAGATGTGTATAAGAGACAGTTCTTGTACTACGGGCAGTTGCAGAATGATCTGGTAGTTGCAAAATACGTTAACTATGGTTACTGATTACATTACTGGAAGGTGCTACATGTTTCTAGTACATTCTGGAATGTTCTGGTGTGAAATATTAGTCAAAAGTTGTTTTGTACGAATACTTTTTTGACCCGAAGAACTTAACATGTTGCATTAATTTTTGTTGCATTGAGATTTAATTTCTATTGGTGCTATTTTTGAATACAATGCGCCTCTATACATAATATAGTTCACTTCTCCAGTTCAGTTTGTGTACTTACATACATTAAAATACGATTTTTCAAGTGTACGAATATTTATTTCCCCCCACTGTATATTGCGATACAGGCCGAAATTCGCAGTGATCGAAGGATTTTATCCAAATGTTCGTTTTCAACTTATAAATCGCAGTTCAGATGCTCTTTGAAAGTTTTGCATGAAATATCGCAGTTTACTCTTAAAAAAACAGTCTAGCCCCATCGTTCCTAAATCCTAACACATGCTTATATTTCATTAAATTAAGACTCGCGCCCAGTCTCGCTTTTCTCATGCGACATCAATGCAAGTCAGTTGGGAGCGCAGCCGTTGGTAAAAAAATTGACTCGTAAACAGGCCCTGGGCCCAACGCCAACCATCAGCATGCAATATCTACACATAGCCTCAGATCAATGAGCTGTGGGTAACTCCGGCTAACAGTAAATTCACTTTGCACAACACAGCCACTGCTTCACAGCGCCGAATGCACAACTGGCCGGTGCGCAACAGGCCCTACCGCAACAGGCGGCGCAGGTTTGGGTTAGGTTAGGTAGGGCATGCTGCGCTCTGGCCAGTTGTGATCCGGCCTGTATGCACTTCGGCCTATGACTGAACGGCGCTGTTGTGGTGGGCGCTTTGTGTCAAAAGCCGTGAAGATGCTCGGCTGCGTTACGCTCGGGAAGGTATATGAATCGCACTGTGGACTTGGGCTATGCTGACCTCTAGCTATCCACCCAGTCAGTTGACGCTCATGTTAGACGCAACACTAGCGCTTCGAGCTGGGTGCCTTTGATGCAGCTAGCGTAAGATATTCCGGTGAAGAGGAAGAAATGAACCCCATGACTTCGTTAATATTCGATTTTATTATTGTCATAGTACATCAGCAGCCTCAAATGTGTGTTCATTTGATGGAACTAGCGGGCAATGTTACTTACAAATCGAGATCCAAATAATTATTGAGAATTCTAACAGGATAAAGTAAGACAACACCAGTACGGTAAGCAAGATAGAGAGCATAGGTAGGGCGATGCAAGTGAGCCCATCAGTCCTGGAGTCCACGTAGATACAGGAATCAGACACCAGACGGACGAAAATAGGTTATCCAAATTCTAAATTATCATAGATGACGACCACGAGAAGACGCAACGGTTGAGCTAGGATCTTAAGGCGACTAGAGATCAATGGCTTTAAATTGCCTCATGACTAGATTGGTTAATTAAAGAGAAATTAGCTGGTGCGTTTCTTAGGGAGCTCGTCTTTTGGTTTGTTCTGCAATGCGTTACTCGGGAGCAAGTTCCAAGAGGCATTAGTATAGGAGCCACTCTTCGACGACAATCTTTAGGGGCGTAAGTATAGGAGTACTTTCTCGGCAGCAGTCCTGATGAACTTCTTTCTTAGATTAATGGCAAGTTACTAGTAGGGATTACTGTCCTGAGGCTGTGGGGCGTTTGTATAGGTGCTCTCGGCCACAGTCCTCGAGTGCACAGTTCTTCTAGTCCTCGGCCACAGTTCTGGAGAACATTATAATAGGGGTAAAGTCCTTGGCTACAGTCCTGAGGGTCTTTAGAAGAGAAATAAGTCATTTGCTACAGTCATGTGATGCATTAACAAACTATTATGTTGTTAGCTACTTGACTTGACTCTTGAGGCGGGTTATGAGCCCAGCAAGCGGCAGCGCCCACTAATGCTGGCGATTGTTCAGATTTAAATAATAGTCATCAATATTACAAACACAGCAATTCAATAAGACAACACTGTTAGAAAACAAAAACGTATAACCATGCATGGAGGAAACCACTTAACAGACACCGACATGTCTGAATTTACACTTGTCAATGTAATCAATTTTCATAGCATTTGTGTGCAAAACGCTATTTTATCCCTCTAAAATCAGAGTAAAATATAGTTTTGTATTCGTTATTTGGAGAAGGGAAATAATTTATTTTGTCTTGATTTTGTCCCACGCGGGGCATCGATTAAAACGCTCCGCTTCACACACTTTTGCTTAGCAATATATTCTTTTGAGACTAAAAATAATTTACTTGTAATAAGCACACAGTTCAAACACGAAAAACGAGTACGTTCACTACGCACTCAGAATGAGCATGATTTACAAAGACGAACTCGATATCGATTATTTATTCAGCGTAAACGATGCCTCTTCGTAGAAGTGACATAGGACTAGAGGCCACTACTTAAATTTTATCCTCTAGATATAGAGGAAAAACAAGATAAAACGGGGACGGGGGATAAAAACGAACTGAATTTAGACCTTGAGCGATGACCAAAGGTCAGCATCAGCACAGGACTTACAAAACAGGGAAATTAGCGAATCGAAATTAGAGAAATTACAACAAGTCAGGAAAATTAGCGCCTCTGTAAAAACGGCGAGTATTTGTGCGCACGCTAGCTTAGTAAGCAAGCATCACGAGCAGCCAAATTTTCTGAAGACAAATTCGTGAATAGGAAGCGGTCCGGAAATATCTTTAGCCTCAGTCAGAAGTGACAGACTAGTTGGATCTCTCAGAGTACGGGCTTAATTGCAGATTGTCATTAGCGTTAATGTTGGTCAGTAAATTGCGAGCCTGTAAAACTCGTTCGGTTTCACTGGTGAGATCTTCAACAGGGGCAGGCCGACTCAACGACTGCACCTCCTGGCGAGGAAGATCGTGGTGTGACGACTGCGAGAACTGCGGCAACCCACGAGCAGGTTCAGCACTGCCGCCGTAGGTGGGTGGTGCACTTCGCACGGACGGCTGACTACTGCGGTACTTCCTTGTATTTGGCACTCCTTCAGATTCTAGTCTTCTTTTTTCTTTCAATTGATGGCATTCTTCCTGCACGCTATTGCCTTCATCTTTTCCGCTCACAGCTGGATTGCCTCCACTGGAAGTCATCTGCATGATGAGCTTGGCAAGGCTGGATTCGATATCGTCGATGCGCTGTCTTGTAATGCGGTCGTTAAGCGAAGTGGTTTGCGAGACGCTATCGCAAGCATCAAAGTCAGAGGCATCAGTGGAGGCAGACGGTGAAGGGAAGAAGCCTTCCATATCGCACTCAACAGAAATTTTTTTACGTCTCAGTAAGTGACAAAGACATGAAGCATTTTGAGGAACTTTGAGAAACTCTTTACACGAGCCGTTGCAGCCAGATAAGCTCATGGGGGATAAATTTTCAGACGAAGCGTTGATGTTGCCAGTTTTCGAGTGCAAATCGGTAGGATATGAGGCATACATGTCATTAATGTTGATGGCGTGATTAAACGAATCTGACTTTGGCCTGCTGTAACTGAACATTGTTGGTCTGCGTTTTTGTAAGGATGTATCACCAGTGTCGGCAGGATTATTCACGGCATTGCGCTCTCCAGCTACAGTAAAAAAACCGTCTGAGCGACGAGTGTTTAGCCCAAGCTTCCCGGGAACCCTGGGAAGCGATTTACTGCTGAAGAAATTTGACTGCTGCTGATCTCGGCAACGACTGAAAAAGTCCTCATTGTCTTTGGGTGCCGCGGGAAAATAAGTCTGCTCCAGGTCGTCATCGTTTGGCTCGTGCATAGACAGGGAGATCGCTGCTGCTTCTCGTGACGACATCCAATCGTCTTCGGTGTTGGTGTACAAGGCATCACGCGGATCTTTTTGGGGTTCCTGAGAAACGCTAGAGTTCAGATTACGCATCTTAAAATCGGAGTCGTCAGTTCTTGACGTAGCAAGTTTCTTAGAACGGGGCAAGGTATGGAACCTGGCAGAGGCATTGAGTGACTGATGAGTTGGTGGTTGCTTTGAAACATTTGAAGGGTTTTTGACAGCTTGATTGACTCCCTTACTTACTGTGCTAAGGGCCACAGAGTGCATCTCTTTACTGCAGGCCAGAAAAGATTCATGAAGTTTATTGTATGATCTGCCGCCTACCGAGTCGCGGGTGTGGCTGCTTGTTTTGCTCGTAGAAATGTCGTTGAGGTTTGCCCCTTTCAGAGTCAGGACTCGGGGGTTCAGTTTGCTGACAGACAAACTGCGCGGCGTTTCGCCACGACCAGCGGACCAGCGGCCTCCTGAAGGGGAACGCGACTTGTTTCCTGCCGTCCTCTGTTTATTATAGCACTTGGAGGACATAGAAATAGAGCGTGAATGCAGGGCCCCGCTGCAGAGGCCGCTGCTCACATCACTTGAACCGTCGCCCATGGAGCGGCCAGAGTTGGACGACCGCGAGGAAACGGTCCTCGCCACGTCCACGCTCGATGAACTCAAGCGAGACCTGCCAGCGTCGCAGGACCCTGCGCTGTTGTTCCTGCGAACGGATAATATCCACGAGGTTAGTAAACAGCTTTCTTCTTATTCCCCCTATTTTAAAAATGCAGATATGACAGCGAGACCTGAGAACATCATTTATTTTTACACATCTCACCTATTTTTTTCAAATATTTCAAAAAAGGTAACATGACAGAACTATACTGAAAGGAGCACAGAGAGAAATGAAAACCACTAAACAAAAAGCACTAATAAACCTACCATAAATCCACAGATTAAGAGCGGCACCCCGAGTAGCTGACCTGGCGTTGGTGGACTTCCTCTTGCCCAGCACGAGAGGTCGTCGTCGGTGCTCCCACTGAGGAGGAGGTGGCGGGGTTATGTGAGGCTGGGCAGCGAGCTGCGAAACGCTGCGGGGTTGACGAGAAAAAGGGACTGTAAGGTCGCCACGGCGCGTCTTGTCAACCACGGGGGGCGGCGAGTGGACGGCATCGGGAGACGGAGGCGAGTCGTCTGCTTGGAAAGATTTGTGGTGGTGGCGGCTGAGCCATGCAGGCACGGGGCTCGCCTGCTGGAGGTGAGGGTGTGAGTTAGGCTGGCAGGAGCAGACGTGTACAATGAGGGAATCTGTATAGGGAGACGTTATGAGCAGACAATAAGGAGACTAATACAGGCAGGCGTCACGAGCAGACAATAAGGCACCTGGTAGAGGAAGACGTCACGAGCAGACAATAAGACACCTGGTAGAGAGCGGCGTCCAGAGGAGACAGTGCGGCAGCGCCGGGCTCCTCGTCCGTGTCGGGGATGATATCCAAGAACTCCTGCCGAAGATGTAGCACCTTTTCTTGCTCGAACAACGCGCGCTGCAAACACAGGTGATTATTTTTAAGGAACTCATTCCATAAGTTTTATTGTACTGCATATAGCATAGGTATATATTTTAATACTTAATGTTCGACTATATTTACCTATTCTTTAAGCTTTTGTCGGCTCATTTATTTGCAACTTGAGCACTAAAAATCAACTAAAAATTACGTGTAACAGTGCAGGTCGACAACATATTCGATTTCTACCATTTTCGCGGGCAAGCATAGAAACATACGGATTTTGAAATTTTTGAAGTCATGAATATATAAGATATTTTTAGTCCTATCTATTTTTCACAAATTTTTATACTCGAGTAAATTGCTCTTGATGAATTTATTTAATACAGATACTTTACCGAAATTTCTTTCATATAATTCAAATTTAAACATACTAATTTAGGAGATAAAAATTTTTCCTATTTGAAACGATTATTAGGAAGATTAACCGACTTGAAGCTACACCAATTTTCACCTCTCTGTTGAGCCTGATAGCCGCCTGCGTGTAGAGCTCTCGTTCCTGCAGCACAGCGCGACGCTCCTCCTCCAGCAGCTTCTTGAGCGTCACCACCGCCGTCGACGTTGAGTCGTTAGGTCCCCCGCAGTTGCGCAACCACGACTGGTCGCCCTCTGACCCCCCGGGGCTCTCACAGTCGCCCCCCTCTCTCATCTCAAGCATCCTTCGTCCATCTCCTACGTCAGGTTCTGGACTTAGCGGCGGCACTTCATCACTAGCGTCGTTGTGGGGAGGAAGGTGACTAGAGGTGGCCGAGGCATGAGGCCTTAATGAGAGGTCTGCTCGCTTGTTATGGTTACGATATTCATCCCTGGAGGCGAGTTCAGGGGTGCTGGTGGAGGGGGTTTGGGTGCTGCACGTTGCAGACACAATCCCCATCTGACGGACCAGCTGCAGCAGAGGGGAGTCGTTGGGGTGCACCACAGCATTACGGCTTTCCGCGGCCGCACCCTGAGACTTGCCTAACGATACTTGATGATCCTGAGATGCTCTTAGGACTCCTTGGGACACACCAGGGATTCCTTGGGATGCGCATGCGACTCCTTGAGATGCACCTGCTACTTCTTGAGATGCGCCTGCGACTTCTTGAGACACTCCTGGGACCTCTTGGCTCCCGCTTGTAGTTGGCTGATATTTGATCCGGTCTTCAAGAGGATCGTTTGCCTGCACGTCGTTGTCTTGAGCTTGACTTGCGCTTTGGCTGGGCTGGGCAGACGAGCTAGCCCCAGAAGGTCTGGCGAGGGAGCCCGTGCTGAGGCGCTGGCTGCTCTTGTTGCTCTTGCTGGCGCTGTCGTAGAGGTGCGCTGACGACGACAGCTCCCGGATGCGCTTCAGACGCGCCTCTCGGACGTCGCTTGTACCTGAAGGAAGAAAATCTGGGGTGACGAGGCGCGAGAGAGATTGTGTTGCCCTTCTCAGCAACACCCCCAGCAACGCACACCTCTCAGCAACATCCCAACCACGCACCCCTCTCAGCAACACCCCCCACCACGCACTCCTCAAGCAAAGTTCACCTTTCAGCAATAACCCCAGCCATACACCCCTCTCAGCAACACCCCCAGCCACGCACCCCTCTCAGCAAAACCCCAGCCACGCACCCCTCTCAGCAACACCCCCAGCCACGCACCCCTCTCAGCAAACAGGACTGTGAGGGCGGCGACGGCGTCTTTGAGCTGCTGCTGCAAGTCACTGGAGCGGCTGACACTGACATCCTCCCCCCGCGGCCGCCAGGGCAGCACTGGCGCCTCGTCCAGACTGTCCGTCGAGTACACAGAGTCCGTCAGTGACGCCGCCAGGTCCTCGGGGGTCAGCGTCTGTGGGAGGTCTCTTATACACATCT